GGAAGGTGGAAAGCAGGGTTCCTGGTTTTGGTATATTCTGACTTCTGTTATTGGAGTCCAAGGGATATAGATTTTCGTATGATAAGGTCAAATTTAGCTCAGCTAAGGGTGGAATTTTAGACTAGCCAAATATCAAATAAGGAACCAAAAGAAGAGAGGGATCTCCTTTCAGACATGACATGACAGTCCCACTGGGCTCTGGTTGCCATCAAGAAGGCTCAAAGTCCCTACCTACAATGTTTTCAGAATTCCATTTGGAAAGTGTGAGGTTTATGGTTCACAGAGGTGAAGGAGGTTATCTAGCCCTGGCCAATCATGAACAGAGTGTTCCAAATTTGGACTAGAAGCCTCTCTCATCACTGATGTAGAGAGTACTGAGCTCTCTGGGTCAGTGCAGTTTTTCCCAGAGCCAACAAACATGATAAGGGTTGTAATCTTTCCGGAGTTCAGTGTCTGGAGTCTGGGGGATGTAAGGCTTTGTGACAGCACTGGACTCTGCTCAGCAGTAAAAGATTCCCAAGTTTGTGAAATATTAAAGGAAGGACCTTGAGTGAGGACTGAGCAATCTCCCCTCTCCCGGAGAAATGGAGCTACTAATCCTCCCTTCTTAGAGCTTTAACCCCCTGAGCTTCAATTTCCTGTGCCACATAGGAAGCCTAGGGGAGATGAAGTAATCTTTAAGGGACTGGGCTGAAATTTTGACAGCAGGGAGATGAATCTTAGCCTTAGAAATATCAAGAAGAGGAGCGTATGAAACTGAGAGGACTCTGAAAGAAGATTAGAAGCTTTGGCCTTCTCCAAGGTACAGAAGGGGCTCATGTTCTCTTGGGAAACAAATAGCCCAGAACGTCTCCAGACAAATCGAGGAAGGGGCTGTTTCCAGGGTTCCAGTTTGGAAGTTTGAGGGAAGTGAAGCTTTTTCATATCAGAGGGGTGGGAAGATACTGATAGAGGAGTGGGAGCATGAAATTTCCTCACAGAAATAGTGTCATTCCCATACCATTTGCCAAAATAGCTGCTCCACAAATCTTGGCAATTTTTTTTTTTTTAACCTAAACTCAGCTACCAAGTTCTATGTCTGGAGTCTGAGGGAAATTGCATTTTTCAGGATGTGACTGGGCTAGATTGGGTCTAGTATAGGAGGTTTGGGATAAAGCCATTTCCTTGTCTGATTTTGTGTGGGGAATCTGAAAGATGTTAGGCTGTTTGAAAGTTAACTTGATTTGGGTCAGAGGTTACCCTGCCTAGATAGCCATTGAGAAGCAGTCTTTAAGAAAGTGCTGGGAGGGATCAGAGAAGTACATATAGGGGTAAACCAGTTCCACCTGCTCAGGCAGTTCCCCTTGCTTTAACCATTTTTATCCTGCAATCAATGCCTGAAACCCAAGGTAAGGCTTTTTCAGAGGGGCAGATGAGGACAGGGAGGGAGGAGATAGACCCTGTTCTCTCACTCATAGGAATAGGGCCCAAGAAGACCTGCCTGTTCAAGGAGATGGCCTGGGATCTTCCAGCCCAGGTACAATTAGGGAAACATGTTAAACAATTCATTTCCCTAAGTGTTGTTAGAAGTAGTTTTAGGGTTGCAAGGAAGGAAATCCCCAATATGAATTTTGTGTCTGGATAAGACAACTTTACTTCTGGTCATAATAAGGATGACAAATTCTTACAGAAATGGTTGAGCAAGCGCATCCAGCAGATGCGGCCTCCCTCTTATATCCCTAACACAAGAGGGGACTCGGCTGTTCCTCATTTGATAAGATCTAACTTCACAGTCTAATTCTGCTTGGCTAGTTTTGGAAAGCATCTGGAGAAGGAAAGGAGAGGATATGGGGGATGTTGCTGGCTGGATAGGCATTTTTTTCTTTTTATTTCTAATTTTACTTTATTTTTGTATGTATGGGTGTTTTGCTTACAAGTATGTACATATATGGACTGCGTATGTGCCTCATACCCATGGAGATCAGAAGGGGGATTTGGATGCCCTGGGACTGGAGTTACAGACACTTATGAACTGCCTTGTACTTTCAGGGAATTCACTCTGAGTCCCTCTGGAAGAGTAGCCTGTGTTCGTAATTGCTGAGCTATCTCTTTAGTTCAATATACGTTTTTTAACAAAGAAGGAAAGTTTGTTACAGTGGCTGGTCAAATATTCCTGGAGCACAAAGGGCAATAGGCATAGAAAAAAAAAAAAAAGATTAGACCTCTTACAGAAGGCATCTATCTGGGAATGAAGAAAACAAGTCTGAGAGCATGTGTATTCAGTAGTGGAGAAAGAGGAGTGTTGAAGGTTTGTTATAAAGTATTTGACAGAGAAGATGAAAAGATGATGTTTTTCATAGTTTTGTGTTAGAAACTGAAGGGACATGAGGCTTTTGGATGTGGGGCTGGACTTGGGTTAGCAAGTGAAGAATTCTAGCAAACTATGATGAATGAGTAGGAGCCTTTCCCTACAGTAAGATGAGGGTGTTGGTCCCACACACAAAGAAAGTTTCTGATGGAATCTCCATTCCTCACCAAATCTTCATTCCTGACCATGACTCACACTACTTTGTTTCCCAGACTTTCATGTCTGGAGATCATGGAAGCGAAACTTCTCTGAAGAGGGTTCTGTACTCAGATTGCTAGGGGAGAATTTCTAGCCTGGGGAAATCTTGTGGGTTTTATGGAGATCTCTTAGTTCTTGTCTTCTTGAAGGAGTGAATCCAGTGACTCAAGAAATAAAGATAGTTTAAAAAGAAGTTTATTTAACAAAAGTAAACAAAGCAAACACTCCAAATACAGAATGGACTGGGCTGCCCCAAAGTGAAGAGCTGCACTGATGAGTCTATGCAAGGAATTCTTAAAAAAAAAGTTTTATAAGTATTCAGGGTGTGTGTGGCACATTCCTAGGATAAGGTGACCAACAATTTTCTCTTACAAACAATGCTGGACAAGGTCACCTTTTTAGGGAGTTTCTTTCCTAATTCTCTAGAAAAGTAAGAAAGGGCTGAATCCATAACTTAAATAGTATAATGAAGTTAGGGCCTTTTTAAGAATGTTACTTTATATGTGTGGGGAAATGTTCTGGTTTCTTAGGTTCTGATAAAGCAGCAACAACCTAAGCTTCACTTCAGGAATGTTTAACCACAAAGGTGTGTTTCTTCAGAAGACACAATTACCAGGTCCTGCTGCAGTTTTCTGCAGTTAATTCCTATTGAAGTCTTTGCCTCCCAAGCATCATCCTGAGGGATTTACCTTAAAGGAGGCCTGGCAGAATTTGTTGTGTTCTTTGCTCCCCCAGATAGAATTATTCTGCCTGTGTCCTCCCAGGAAGCCATCCCTGCCTGGATGAAAGAAAGAAAAACAATGTATGATTCACTGGGTTCTATCCTGATAGGTCAAGGGAATTGAGACTTTGGAGAGGGAGCTGGAGTTTGAGTCCTGAGGAGGTGGAACTTGAGGGAAGAATATGAACATTTCCTTCACCCACAGACAATACAGGATGCCAAGCCCACTTGTCAGGGTACATTCTCCTGAGGGTGGGGGCTCCAGGTTACATCACACTTCTAAATATTTTCCTCATGTTTTATTTCTGGAATACAAGGGATTTGCAGCTTTTTTTGTAGGGGGCTCCACTCCCTGATGATACATATCCATCAGTGTAAAGAACGGATTTAGGAATGGAACCTCCTTTTCCCGACAGAAATAGTGGGAACACCTTCTTTTGCACCTCAGTGTGCTCTGCTTTAGGTCATGGGTCAAAATCATTTTTTCCAGAAGTGTCATGGCCAGAGTCCACAAGAGGTGAGGATTTATGGGTGGTTTGGACTTAGGACTGCTGGGAAGGGTTCTGAGACAAGACAAACATTCAAGTGAAGGGGGACTATCAGGGCACCAAGGGAGGGATTAAGAAGCACCCCCTTCCAAAAAAGAATGGAGCTGACCCTGTCTACCCTAGCGAACATCTCTGGCACACTATGGGCTGGATAAGCAGTGTGCTGTTTCTTGGATTCTGTATTGATAGTCTCCAGGGATTGAGGCTTTTGGATTATACAGTTCCAACCTTGGTAAACAGCAAGGCAAGACAACAGGAGTTAAGGATTGTCAGTTTTCCCTTTCCCCATAAAAATTATGGCCTCAAAACCCATATTTTCAAGCAGCTTCCCTAAAGTCTAGGGGTTGCATGCCAAATTTTGGATAAAATAATTTGTTTCCCTGAATTCCATGTGGGGAATCCAAGGAAGATAAATATTTTATGGAGTGGGCTGGATTCAGGACAGCAAAGGAAGTGGTCCCAGGATTGGGAAATATTGAGAAGAGATCCCCTGAAGAATGAATGGAAGATCCTGATGAGCCTTTAGAAATCTCCTACTCCCTCACACATATAGGGGTTTGGGCTTCACCTTTCCCAGAATTCTTATGAGGAAACATCCAGAAGGCATAAGAACTATGCTATTTCTAGCTTATATCTGATTGACTGTGGGCAGTGAATTGTTTGGAGGATGTAGTGGAGCACACTTATCTTGGGTGAATCCTAGCCTTAAGGGTTAGGGTCCAAAAGGAAAAAAATGGAAGGAAGTCTCCCTGACCTCTATAGAAATAGTTATGTGACTGTGCTCCTTAACTAGGCTGTGTCCTGGGAATTACTAGGCAAGGCTGCAGCTCTAAACATTGTTTCCATAAATTCAGTATCAGGAGTCTGTGGGATCTGAGGCCTTTGGAACAGTCCAAGACTCAGAAGTTCTAATCTGGAGGAGAGAAACCTGAAGGACAGTTGGGAGCCTTCCCACCCCTACAGAAATAATTGGGCTTTGGTCCTGTTTGACCAGATTGTGGCTCTGGGAACCTCCAGGCAAGGTTGCAAGTCTAAACATTGTTTCCAGGAGCCCAATATCAGGACTATGGGACTTGAGGTTTTTGAGATGAGCCTGAAACTGGTTTTTCAAGAGCAGTGTCAGCCTTGAGTGGGAGGAGCCTCAGAGGCTAGTGGGGGCTTTCTTTTTCCGTACAAAAAGAGGTGTGGCCAATTCCCTTTCCTCAGACTGTTGCCCCAGAGGCGTCCAGTCTTTTCCAGCTTGGTGTGTGCTACCTGGAGCTCCGTGTCCGAAGTCCAAGGCAGGTAAGGCCTTTTGTGAGAGGGCACTGGGTTTAGTGGAGCACAGGTTCCGAACTCAGGAAATATTGAGGAGAGAGCTCTGAGAGTGAAATAAAACGTTGAGAGATGATTGGACCCACACATATAGGGGTCTGTCCAGTATTCATCTCGGAAATGTTCTAGAAATGTGAAGTAGTATATTGTTTCCAGCTTTCATCTGGGATACTGAAAGCAGTAAGACACTGAGAGTGGGCAGAACTGGGTCAGCAGGGCATAAGTTCAAGTCTGGAGGAATGTAAATAGAGTGCCTTGGAAGGACAGTGATCAGAGATTGGGAGAAATGGTCTGCAGCACAAATAATAGGGGCTTATGAATCCTTCCCTAGTAGAGAGGCTTTTAGGGAGGGAGCTAAACTCAGCTCATTGAGTAGAGAGATTCTAAAGGATAATGTGAGCTTTTCTTCCCACAGAAAGAGGCATAAGTAGTCTCATTTTTGATGTAGGACCTCTAAGAAGACCCACGGAAAATGGGTTCATGTTTGTTTCTCTTTTCTGTGCTGAGAGTTCAAGAGAGATGAGGCTTTTTGTCAGGTGGCTGGACTGCCTGGCAGGGGAGCAGTCCTAGCTTCAGTAAACATGAAGGGAGTAATGCAAGGATTTGGGGCCTACCCCTTTCCCACATAGAGAGAGAGCTTTTTCCACTTTCTCAAACAACATTCATCTCAGGGAAGCATCAGGCACTATGAGGAGTCTACTGTGTCTAGAGTTTATCTTGCAATATGACAGAGGTGAGGCTTTTGTGGAAGAGTTAGGACTCTGGTCATTATGTGTAAGAATCTGAACCTTGAAAAGGAGGAACTTGAGAGAGCAGCCTTTTTGCTATCTCCTACACGATAGAAATTGAGATGGAAGCTCAGTGCTGCTTGTCCAGGAAATTTCTTAATTAATTAAGCTCTAGGCCAGTGGTTCTCAACCTTTCTAATGCTGCAGCCCTTCAATACAGTTCTTCCTGTTGTGGTGACCCACAACCATAGCATTATTTTCATTGCTACTTCATTTTGCTACTGTTATGAATCATAATGTGAATATCTGATATGGGGGATATCTGATATGCAACTCCTGTGAAAGGGTCATTCAACCCACATGTTGAGAACCACTGCTCTAGACCATGTCACAATACAAAGTGTTTTGCTACCCTGGTGAAATATTCAGGGAATCAGAGAGGTAACAATTTAACATCTGATATTGACTTGGGTTTCTCACTTTAATTCCTGCATGGAGAAAAATCAGGGGCAGATCTCTAGGGAGGACTGGGAGGACTCTGGGGAAAGATGAAGAGTCTGCCTGTCCTCCACAGAAATAGACCTCTGCCACTATTTTCCTCAGCTCCTCTCCCTGTGTGACTCTAGGCAGGCCGATCAATGGGACATTTCCCTTATTCTATGCTGAGTCTTTTCAATGGTATTAGATACCAATCACCATGCTTAGGAGTTCTAGTCTTGAGAGACATAAATATGAGGGAAGAGTCAGAGCTTTTCCTCCTCCCACAGAAATAGTAGGGAAACAGCCCTGCACACTAAAGTACTTGCTTATTGATCATTAAGGAAAAAATAAACTGAAGGAGGCCTGTGAAAATTCTGAAAGAATAGGAGGATCCCTTGGGAGGAGGAGTGAGACTTTCCCTTTCCCTTTAGAAATCAGTAGTGTTAGTCCTGCTTCCTCAGGCAGCCTTACCAGGATGCTGAGAGGAGGTATCAGCAAGAGCACTTTTTAACCATAATTCTGTGTGCAGATTGCAAGGAATATCTGTTCTATGAGAAGGGGAATGTACTCCAAAAAGCTGGGAAGGATTCTTTGCCTTGGAAAATATCCAATGATGGAGGACTGGGGAGAGTCTAACACAGTCCTCTCATTGATATTTTACAAACCTCTGCTGCTAATCACAGTCCAGCCTCTTCACAAAAGGCCTCCCAAATTGAAATCATTGACAAAGCATACCCCCTCTCTGTCTGGAGCCCCCATCACAGACAATCAGACAGAAGGGAAAGTGAATTCCTTTACAGCCTCCCCTATAGAGTGTAGTCCAGCACCCCCTAAAAGAGCCCCATTAACTTCAGAGTCCCAACATGGAACTCAAGAATCTGTAATAGTTCTGAATTACCTGAAGCATCTCAAGACAACTACCTGGCTAGTTAGGGATGTCTTCCTTTAATTCTGTGGTGGTAGAGAAGACTTATAATTCTTAGGGCAAAGCTTCGTCAGTATTTCACCTCCTCACTGTTCTCTGTATTCTCAGGACATAAGCATCTTCATTAGAAGAGAAGGCCATCTGGGAAAGAGGAATAGCAGATCAGCAGAGAGAAAATCTGTGTGGAAAGCAGGTAATAGTCCTGAATGAGGAATGAGGACACAGTCCTTTTCCTTTTAGGGACAAAAGGTATGCTAAGCTCGACTATATCCTGTTGCCCTCTCTTGGAGGAGCTATGTACATGATCATATAAGGTTCATACCTTATCTCTATGCTCAGATAATTGAGTGCTTGTTCTGAGGGGGCAGACCAGGAGCAACAGAGGGAGAGCTCTGAAAGTTATCATTATAAAGAATGAAAGATCTTACAGCAACTTGATGTGCCATGCTTTGTTGATATCCATGGGAGGCCTGCTCCTTTCTGAACAGAAAAAGAAGAGGAGTGGATTGGGGGGAGCAGAGGGGAGTTGAGGGAAGGAAATGGAAGGAGAAGAGAGAGGGGAAACTGCAGTCAGTATGTGAAATTAAATAGATAAATAAATAAATAAATATATAAATAAAAAGGAAAAAAGGAATGAAAGAACCTCTAACCTAGGGGAGTTGTGATCCCTGTAGTTTGGCTGGCACTACCTTGTCATTCAGTTAGCTTGACATGGTTCAAAATGGTGCTCCATCACTTCTGCTTCACTGTGTTAGGGATGTTAAGTCTTGTCCTGTGAATTTGATCTCAATCTACCAGATGGGTATAATTCATTTCTTTCTAGGAAAAAGGTAAGCACAAAGGGGGGCTTTCACTCCACAACTATTCAGAGTTCAGCCCCAACAGCCAGGAGAACCCACTGTTCTACTTTTATTCTTAACCATGGATGCCACCTAGTTTCCTATTACAAAACTTCCAGGAACTATATGAGTACCCTAGAGTTAGTTATATGTTTTCAAAATCATAGAATGAAAGAGACCCAGCAAGTGTCAAGAGTCCAAGTTAGATACACACTTGAACATGCACAAACATTATACTGTAGAACACAGGGACCCCAAGGCAATTGATCCCACATACTCTAGTGTACTTTCTGAAGTCAGACTCTGCCATCTGGCTGAACCCTAAGTACCTTTATCACTTTCTTCTATAGGTTCCTAAAGGACAAGCCAAATACAAAGGCTACAGAACTCCGAGGCTGTACCATATCACCTGGAGAAGACCTGTAAGTTGGCTTTTGTTATAGCCTTAAGAGCAGATATTTCCTTTTGATACTGCCCACTCTGTTTGTTTTCTTGCCTCACTCCTGTTTACATTTCTGTCTTCTGTCTCCAGAAAGCAAAATAATGTCTCGCTACGGAAAGCACCCACGCCTCAGCCTGGAAGAAGGTGTAAACTTCCAGAACCCAACTGAAATGGATGAGTTCCCACTGGTTCCCACACCTGAGAAGGAGGAGAGAGAAGAAGAGGAGGTAAAAGAAGAGGAAGAAGATAACAATAAGCAGAAAAACAAGGAAGATAACAAAGAGAAGAAAGAAGAAGAGGAAGAAAAAGGGAAAGAAGATGAAAAGGAAGAGTGTGGTGATGAAGTGAATGATGAAGAAAATGAGAAGGGAGAGGAAGAAGCAGACTTAGCTTCCATCTTTTTTTCATCTTCTAATGTCTCTTTTCCTACTTTTACCCCTCCTTCTCCTTCCTCCTCTTCCCCTTTCTTCTCTCCTTCCTCCTCCCCCTCCTCTTCCCCCTCCTCCTCCTCCTCCTCCTCCTCCTCCTCCTCCTCTTCCTCCTCCTCCTCTTCCTTCTTTTCTCTGTTTCAGAGCAACCTAGGGGGAAATGAGGATTATGCTGCTGGGATGCTGAGCATTTTTCAGAATGCTCAAAGTTTCTTCCCCTCACCTACTTTAGGGGAGAATTTAGATGAAGCAACCAGCCACCAGGAAGAGAGTTCAGGTGCCATTCAGTCTCCAGAAGACCCTGAAGCTTTGCTGAATATTGTGATACAAGAAAAGGCTACTGATTTAGTGTTTCTTTTCATTTACAAGTATAGAATGAAGGAACCCATCACATTATCAGAAATTTATGAGGTTGTCACAAAAGATTATGAGGATCATTTTGCTGTCATCTTCATTGAAGCTTCTAAATGCTTGGAGATGACCTTTGGCATTGATATAAAGGAAAGTGATCTTCTAAGCAGTGCTTATGTCTTTGTCAATTCACTGAACCTCACCTATGAGGACATGCTAAATGACAATGATAGACTGCCTAGAAATGCTTTCCTCATAGTTATTCTGGGTGTAATATTCATAGAAGGGAACTGTGCTTCTGAAGAAAGAATCTGGGAATTTTTGAAGCTGGTAGGAGTATATGATGGGGAGGTGCATTTTATTTGTGGAGATCCCAGGGAGTTCCTCACCGTAGATCTAGTGCAGCAAAATTACCTGGAGTATCGGCAGGTGCCTGATAGCCAGCCTCCATGCTTTGAGTTCCTGTGGGGTTCAAGAGCCTATGCTGAAACTACGAAGATGAAAGTTTTGGAGTTCTTGGCAAAGATGAATGGGTGTGACCCAACCGATTTCTCAATCTGGTATGAAGAGGCTTTGAGAGATGAGGAAGAGAGGGCCTGGGCCATAAATGATTCTGCAGATGGAAGTCCAACCACTTGGTTTTTAGAGCGTTGATTATCAGTTTGTTTGTTTGTTTGTTTTACTTCCTGTGAGGGACCTGTTTCTACATGGGTTCACTCTAATTTTGAAAGGAGCAGCCAAAATTTTAAGTAAGAGAAAAATCAAAGTTAGGCTCAATAGAAAAGGTTAAAGAATCACTATGTTAATTGGGGATTTGCTTAGCTGTTTAATTTTGGGTTAATTTTAAATGTTATTCTTTGTAAGCAAAGGTTTATTTGCTTTAGAATCTATGAAACTGTTAATACTTCTTATAGTTTTTTTTCAAAAATATAGTGGAAAATTATGTAATGTAGTTAACTTTTGAATTGGCTTAAACGTTTTAGTTTGTTCTGTAAAATTAAAATGCAGTGTACATTTATTTACTAGGCTCATGTAAGAAAACAAGACATATTAATAAATCTAATAAAGAATGCTCACTGACTCATTCACCAAATATGAGTGAAATTTTTCTGTTTTGGTAAATAATATGATATTGGGGTTAGGTGCATGGAAAAATAAGACACTTCCCTCCAGAGGGAATGGTAGATTCTGTGAACATCTATCATATAGGGAACGTGGTGAGATGTGTGTCAAGATGTAAAGAACAAGTAGAAAGAAGGAACAGATAAGGAGAAGGGTTTCCAGTTATCAGAAGCCAAGTGCAAAGGTTCAGAGCCAGTGAAATTGGGGAACTGGGGAAATTAAATGTTTTGGGATATATTTTATATTAAGCCATGAAAGGCATCACAGGCCACAGGGTTGGTAAATCAAAATTAAGTATTCTATGCTTAAAGGTCCAGGGATTTCCTAGGAAGAAAGAGGTGCATCCTTTCAGTCTGCCTACAAATTATCAGTGCATCATTTTTCCCCCTGCCCTGGGAGTCAGAGCCCTCTCTCTTACAACGCATTAAAGTGGGTGTTTGTGAATACCATTTGTACTAATTCAAACACAGTCAAGGATCTGGTGGCAGTGAAGTTACTGTACAAAGTATATACAGAGAATGAACAGTCAGGAGAGAAAAAAAGAAAGAGCTAGCTTTTTTTTCATTTTTTTTATTAAGAGATTTTCCTATTCATTTTACAGACCAACCACAGATTCCCTTGTCCTCCTTCCTCCCACCCCCCAGCATTCCCCCCAACCCACCCCCCATTCCCACCTCCTCCAATGCAAGGTCTCCCATGGGGAGTCAGCAGAGCCTGGCACATTCAGCTGAGGCAGGTTCAAGCCCCTCCCCCTGCATCAAGAGTGAGCAAAGTGTCCAACCATATGAAGAGCTAGCTTTTTACTTAACTGGGAGTTTCTGATTTTTTTTTTAGCTAAGCACACCAACTTAGCCCCCAAATAATATACTGTCTATAAGGGAGTAAATGGGTTTCAGTTGTAAAGCATTTTTTTTTTCTGATTTGGTATTCTTTCCCTCCCTGAGTTGCATTTCGTGACATACAATGGTTAATGACAACAACAAAACCCAGGGCATAAGATGGCAGGGTCTATACTCAAATTGATTTTCAAACTAACTTTCATTCATTAAATAACCAATATATTTGTGCAGGACACCAGGTGTTTTCCAGTCAATGCATTTTTACTCTGCTGCTACATTTCCCAAACCTGCTTCTGAGAGAGCAAATAAAGGCTTCTGGTTCTTTGTAATTATCCAAAGAACAGGCACCTGGTATGTGGCCAGGCTTGGACAAGAGTTTATCTATAGTACACTTTGTTCCCTATCTCCTAGCCCAAGGCATGTCTTTGGTTTCTTGTTTCATTTCTTGCTGTTCCAAAATGTCTCAGTTGACAAAAAGATGCAGGCCAAATATTCAAAGCATAATGAGGATAAAAATTTGTGATTGCTTTTCACATTACTAGTAGGGTTATCTTGCCCTTGTAACCAGAAAATTTCATAGCTGTGTCCTTGGAAGTAAACAACAGCTTTGATAAATGTCAAATTTGCTAGTCTTAAAATTCCCAGCCCCCAGAAACATTTCATCATTCAAACAATCAGAAAATTAATCTTCATACAAAGATGGTTAGATTTATGCAATAACATCAAAATTTTGGGGGTTCCCCTGGATGTTATTTAAAAATTCAATGCACCAACAGAAGCTTCTTACCAAACAGGAGAACCATGGATCTCAGAAAATTTATAGTCAGTGTATAAACAGACATGGCATGAAAGGCTACGGAAATATCCATAAGTGAAAAATTGCTGAAGTCCTTAGGAGAAAATGTAAAACCAATCCAGAGCCCTATCATAGCTGCTATTCAGGTGTGATATGAGAGTTCAGTATAGCCTGAAGTAGGGTCCAGAGGAGAGGAGGTATGGAATCTTGGTAAGGACTGTGGTTGTGATATATGATACCTTACCTGACTAGGCTTAGTGTATCCTTGAATTTCCAGTCCAACTCTAAGATTCAGCATGATCTGAGCATGCAGGTATAAGGAGAGGGCCAGAGAAGTTCTAGATAACCTGTGCTGTGGCACAACACCTCTGAGTCAGGGAGAGTCAGCTGTGTCTTCTGCACAGTTCTAAGTGAGCCACCTCCTTTGTCCACTCTGATGAGTGTCTGTGGTTTCTCAAATGTGCTTAATGCTCACCAGATGGTATGTATTTTTCCTCCATGATGGAGATGACTCTGTTAATAGGGTGAGGGCCATGTGGCCTGTGATTTAAACAGGCAAGAAATAAATCCAAGTTCAGTGAATAAAAGTGTTCAGCTTAAGGATGAAAAATTGAAATGGAAATATGTAAAGATGAAGTGCTGAGGGAAGCACATCTGGGAACATCATCGATATGATGTCCCTTCTTAGACTTAGCCCTTTTAATTTCTAGGTTTTATCACCTTGGTAGGTAATTCCTCTAAGTTTGTCACAGTTGTTCTATGTTGCCACCAGATATTATCTGAGTTATTGGAACAAGGTATAGTTATCTTCTTCAGCGTAGATTGAAAACATATGCAGCCAGAATAGATCCTTTTTATAGTAAAAGAAATATGAGACTTGAAAGACAGGGAGGGAACTCCATGGATCACACTTTTGGAAACCTCTTCATATTGAGAAAATGTTTAGGTGTGAGGAGGAAACATGTAAAATGACACCATTCCCTTGCTCCCCATTGAAATGCTGAATGAACAGATCATTGGCACCATTTTGATTTTCTACCAAGGAGGTGGAAGACCCTGGGAGAGCTCATGTTCTCCATTTTGATTCAGCACATGTGACCATCTGCAATTATATGCATTCATTCACTCTTCTGTTCTTTCTTTGATTAAATATTTACTGAGTAAATGTGGAGAAAATAACCAAAGAAAGCACAGGATTTTAAGTAGGTATCTAACTTAAACAATGCAGGGAAATAGTTCTAGAGAAGTTGAGGAATTCATGCATTTAAGTGGTGGCAGCATGTGTATACTACCAACTAATCCCTCAAAATTAAAACAAAAAAATCTTTTTAAAATTTTTTTAATTGATTCTTTGTGAATGTCACATCATATATGCTGATCTCATTCATCTTGCTGTCCCTTTGCTCCTGCCCACTGCCATTGCATCCCCTTCAAAAAACAAAATTTTAAAGTAAAACCCAAAACCAAACCAAAACAAAAACAAAAATTAAAACATTATCATTATCAACAACAAAACAAATAAAAAAAATCTCATTGTGGAAGCTGTAGTGTTACACAGTGAGTCACACAGTGTATCTCTTAGTCCATACATTTTTACTTGTAATTGTTTATTGCAATCAGTCATTTGTCTTGTTTGAGGCCTCTAAAAAATACTATCAAACTTTAGCATAAATAACGAGTGACCCAGTATAAGGGAAATTTATTCTAGGACTTATTTATTTTAGCATCTCAAAATAATGTATTAACATTATATAAAATAATGTGTAATAGCTAAGTGATTTAATTGGGAAATATGATGTACTACTAGCTGCCTCCATGTGACCCAGTAAAACAGAAGAGTCAGAATATGAAAAAAAAAAGACATATTCTAAACAAATAAGGAGAGGAAAGCCTCAGAAATCCACAAAGCTATTGACAGGATATCTGAAAATTGTGTAGAAAAACAGTGGTGACTCATGAAAACCAAGCAGAACACAGCTCCAGATTCCTCAAAAAGATGAGTCAGGTGGTCTGGAAGATAAGGATCTTGCACTCATTCCTGCCTTCAAGAGAAGCTCATAGCCTTTCAAGACTCAAAAGCAGATGGAGGTTTTGATGAGAGAGTTGACCAGCAGTGGAGAGAAATTTCATTGTAACAAGCTCTGTAACTTGGACAGCACGCTATCTTAAGTGATAACTTATCCTTGGAAACTGAGCCACACTGGAGCCTCCAGGAGGAACAGCTAGAAGATTAGTAGATGACTTGTAAATAGCTCTAGGGTGAGAGACAGCCCAGGGAAGCAGCTGTGGGAACAGACACTGGAAAACCCATAAAATGCCACATAGACTCAATCCAGAAACAGTGTGCTCAGGGAAAGGAGCCATGTTCTTGGTTGTTGAAAGCAGATCTCAACTAAGAGTGATACTGGAGTTTGATTTCATTAATCTTGAGATCAGCCTAATAGTCATTCACTGCTTTTAAGCCTGAAAACTCTAAAACTTTTGACTCATACTCAACACACACACATCCAGCATCAGAAGATCATGGAATTATAAGGATAGATTTTCCACCTATACAGATTTCATTGCTATGGCTTCTTTTCAATGTCCTAACACAATTGGGAGGCACCTCCTGGTATCCTTCCTAACTTAGCAATATTTTTATATTTTACTATTTTTACAAGCATGTTTTGCTCCTTATCTTCTTTGAAACATTTGTCTAATTCTGTTTTTACCTTTAGTCATTATCTAACAATCTTTTTTTCCTTTCTTTACTATTCTTTTTGGCTTATGTCTTCCATGTTTTCCCATTTTTCTCTCTACAATAATTTTCATATTATTTTGTTGTTCTTAAAAAATAATGCTTCCTATTACCCCAAATGCACTTATTTAATCTTTCATGTTCTTTTTTTGTCTTTTGTAATTTCTTTCTCATTTTACTTCCCTCTCTAACATCCTTCTCTACCTGTCCTCTCTTTATTTCATTTATGTAAACTTGCTTCTTTCATGTTTACCTTTTCTCTGTCTTCTGAATTTTTCACATTCATTGTTTTTGAGATTTATCCCAAGGAGACTTTAAAATTTCTTCTCTAATTTCCTCAGTATATTTTTTAATTCTCCAAGTACTTACATAACTTCTTTAATTTTCCTTATTATTAACTTTTGGTTGTAATTTATTGTGGTCTCATTAGATGTAAAAAATTTGTATGTGAAATTGATAACCTATTTTGGTTTAGGAAAAGTTGCATAGATTTCTGTGAAAAGAAAAACTTTCTCCTTTGCTGGTTTAGGATCATTGGTGATATAGGCTTTAATTCAATTTTGAGTGTCTTTATACATCTTGTACAGTTTGATGTT